TTCAGTTCTTAGTATTTAATATGGTATAATACTAGCATTTCTACCTTAATTCGTATTTTATTTATAATTAGGTTATTAAAGTTTTATTTGATATCATTTAGTCCTCGTTTTAATAAATATATTTATTTTCTGAAATTTATAATTTGTTGCATTATGTTTTCGTTTGTTTTGTTTAGGTCATATTTGTTCATTAAATATAACTATGTATATAGTATATATTTTTAGTTATAAAATGTGTATATAATTTTTATGGAAATGTCACATTGCATGATATTTTAAAATATTGTTTTAATTAATTTTTATATGACATCATTTTAGTATGATTTGCATGTTAGCCTCACGTGCATAAACTCAATGTATTTACATAATTTAATTAAAGGTAATATCTTTTTAATTTAAAATTATTTTAAGTGGGTTGTCTTAACTGATTAGATATCCGCTTTTGATAATTTTAAATTAAAAGTATATTCCATCAGTGACACCTAAGAAATTAATTTATCGCTTTTAAAATTTGGGAACGGAAGAAAAAGAAATATTCGACTATTTAAATTTATCGAGAAAAGATAGTTAGAACTTATCTAAGATCTGGTCTCGATATTTGTAAATAATCGAATATTCTTTATCTTTCTAAAGGCCTGGTAATTTTAATTCAATCTATTTTGGGTGCTTTTGAATTTTGTAAAATTCATGTGGTGTTTTGTCGGGGATCATAAATCAAATTAAACTCGAATTTGTAAATTTCATTGCAAAGACATTAATTAATCGACAAGTACCGATTTAGGGCGCTGTAGGGGTGCTAATCCTTCCCCACACGTAACCGACTCCCGAACTCGAATTTTGGTAATGCAGACCTAAATTTGTTGTTTTAATTAAAATTAATTTTTTTATTTAAAATGGCAAAACATTTTTGGGTGCCCAATCACACCCTAATTAAAGATTGGTGGCGACTCTTCGAACCCGTATTTTTATCGTGAATGAATTCCCAAATTTTTGAAACAAGAGGTTTTCTAAAATCACATTATTTTTAATTAAAATTCAATCGTAAAGAGAATAATTAAAAATTGGTGTGGTTTCCAAAATCTCACCCGGGACAAAAATCGTTTCGACAGTCTCAGCTTGTTTATTCTTTTGACATTTTCTGATATATAAAATTATGATATGTGCTTCTCATGCTTCTTTTAACTTCAAAGTTAGGAGAGCTGAAATTGGGTGAGCTGCTCGACACTCCGCCTCCTGGTTTAGATGAAGCTATTGCAATTTCAAAGGTAGCACTATTTTCCCGGCTTATTTCCTTGTTTTATTGCAGCTTTCATATCTTTGGACGTATACTGACCGCGAAAGATCTTGCTAGGTGATGCAATTTCTTGAATCACCACAATATAATATGTTTACTCGAATAGTTTTCGACACCGCTCCAACGGTGAGTCATGAGTTTATTCTTCCTATTTTGCGGCACTTCATATTCAAAATCAACCCAAGGACCCCTAATTGATGGGGGAGTTCTTTTCAGGGACATACGTTGCGACTTTTGTCTTTGCCTGACTTCTTGGATGCATCAATAGGCAAGATATTGAAGGTGAGACTGCCATCATCTATGTTACTCAGATTCAAGTTTGTTTGTTGGATACAAATGTGTACGGGCATGAAAAATGATCGACAAGTAACATCTTCCCACTACTATATTTAGAGATGCTTTTAAGATAGATGATTTCTCATGTGATTGACTCACAGAGTTGGCATGTCTAACTGATGTCACATCTAAAGCTAAGTTACTCAGTATTTGTGTGCGAGTGTTGGATATGCTTATGCGTCCGACATGGGTATGTTCATGTCTTCTTAAGGTTTTTCCGATGTATTTAGTGGGGTCTTCAGAGGGTCATATCTTCATACCCACAGCCTAGTATGTATTAGACTTGGATACTTGAAAGAAAAATTTAGAGTCTTAGCAACATAGTTTTAAAGCCCTTCCATTCCTCGAGAGTGGTGAGGTTGAGTTGGTTGACAATGTAAGCAGAAGATTTGTCCTTTTTTTGACATAGATGTCTTATAAATCGAATCAGTATTTGATGAGTAATTTAGGATCATTGGATGAGTGTAAACGAATGACTAAGATTAAGACTTTGTGCATTTCCATTATCCGCCTCTTTTTCTTTTACCTGTAAAAATCTCATCTTCAACCATATATCTCAGCCATCCATTTATACTCATCCAATGATATACGCATCCAATGATCCTAAATCATTGTAAAACTTTTTATATATATGTTTTCTTATCTAGTTCTAAAGGAACTAATTTCTTTTCTTTCACCGTCATTTACATATTCAGCTTCGACAGAAGATTGCTTCAGCCACCTCCACCATAAAATCTGTTTTTGGGCAAGAAGAAACCCAACAGAATGCTGTAAGACTGATTTAGATAAGATCGGCATCTTGTTTTCTTTTTTAATCATTTTATTTTATTCTTCAATACTATTTATCCATATATTATTTGTGCAGGCTGGCAAGTTGGAGAAATTGAGGGAGAGGATGGTAAAAGTGAGAGACCTTTTCCGCGATGCAGATTCTACGGAGTTTGTCATCGTCACAATCCCGACGGTATTGCCATTTACAATTGTAGTTCAGCCTCAATTTCAGTACTCAATTATTTAGCATTATTTACAATATCCTTTCCTTCCATTACATATAAGGTTTGCTAAGCTTGATCTGAATGGAGGACCATTTTTTTCCTCGAAAAGCAAGGGTGTGGTGGAACGGATTGGTTTCGGCAAATGCTTATATTTATTGCAATTAAATCGCTTATATTTTATGTACTTTTGCTTAGGTGATGGCGGTTAGTGAGTCCTCCAGGTTAAGTGCCTCCTTGAGGAAGGAAAATGTTCCCGTGAAGAGACTAATTGTCAATCAGATTCTTCCTCCATCTAACTCTGACTGCAAGTTTTGTGCAATCAGAAGGAAGGTATATTTATCTTTTACTTTTATAAAAGATTATGAGTAGGCAAAATAAATTGAATTCATTGGATGTCGACCTGATCTGATCTTATAAGGATGAATCTTTTTTTCAATATCGGGTTTATGGTAGGGTGGATCTGTTTTCTATTGTTTAATCAGACCCTTTCTCTACAAACATGGAGTGGTTTAAGTGGTAAGCAGTTTGATATCGCTTAAGCAGATATCAAGTTTGAGTCTCTGTGTATGCAAAAAATCTCCGTTGGGAGATTCACCCACCAAAGCCAGTTGTGCGACATGGGTCGGTCCGGATTAGTTATGGCAAAGCCTTAGGGTTTATATCTGATTTGACCTTATATGCTATGAATATTACCATTGACATTCTCCTTTTCGGCTTACTCTCCCTCAAAGTACTCGTTCAATAATATTTCAGGATCAGATGCGTGCTCTTGACATGGTCCGGACCAATCCTGAGCTATCGAGCTTGAAGTTGATCCAGTCACCCTTAGTTGACATGGAGATTAGAGGTGTTCCAGCCCTTAAATTTATGGGTGACATTGTCTGGAAATAAGTCATCACTATGGTAATTCTCTCTTCTGAACTTTCTATTATCATGGCAAAAAGTCTTAAAGGAATTCGTTCATCTTTGTTATTCCGAATCTTCATTTTCCTTGATGTATTTATGGTTACTATATATCTGTTGTGCACTCGTCTCCGGTACTCACGAATTTGAATAACATCGATCTTGACTATGCTCTGTATTGTACCCAGAATTATTAGAGGCCCTATCTATGAACTGGTAGTTATACTTCCTATTAGATGTGTTCATGAACCGGGTTAGGTCAGGCTTTGATTACTGAAACACATTCAAGTCGGGTTTGAGCTGGCTTGATTTGAATAATCCATGTTATTATTTAAAGATCTGAAGACCTCTAAAACATGAAGAAACTTGGAAAAATAATGAACATAAACACATCGGTATCTAGCATTAAAACCCGGACTTCATAACCGTTGGATCACAGTTATGCAATCTGATACTAATCTGTGGATGTGAATTTGACAATGGCAGGTACATTGAACAATGAATCCGGATCTGGAATTTTCAGGCAGCCATGTAAATGGTAGTTCATAAATGGAATTGAAGAAGCTTGAGATTTTGGATAAAGAAGCTATGAGAGCTCAAAAGCTTGAAATGGGGTGATGTAAAGGGAAAACCTTCAAGTTTTGTACAACCCCAAATCTTATATACATGCACACTGTTCTTTTTATTACTTTCTGTATGAGAACAATGAAATAACAGACATAATATTGTTCAAAAAAATTAGGTTCAAAATTAAAACAATTTTCAAAAAAGTTTTTAAAAAATATTCATGAAGTAGATCACTTATGCTGGAAGAGCCTGACACGTAATTTTACTGACCAAGAAAAGCATTGAACAAAGGAACATAAGAGAAGGTGGTCACGTATATTTTTTAAAAGTATTATTCTTTGTTGATATAATAGAAATGCGCTTTTGTTTACTTTCGTGTTAGTGTTTTGTAATGAAATCAAACAATTGTTTACTCATTGAGGCTGCTTTCATTTAAGAAAGAAGTGAAATTGAAATTTGCTTGTGATTTAATATTCTTTTCTTTTCTCGTACGACAATCTAATTTATGGAAAATTTTATAATGAGATAGTCTAATTTAAAGATAAAGAATATATACAATTGAAAATATTTAAAAATAATATTTTTAGTTAAGCACAATCTAAAATATTTATTTTTAATATTTTTAGTTGAATTAAAAATATTATAAAGAATAATATTTTTATTATAAACTAAAAATATTAATTTTTTAATATTTTTAATTACGTATTTATTTAATTTTAATTTATGTTCACATCCTTTAAACATTTCACAAATTTTGGTGTTACGGGTGAGTTACATTTATCCTCTCATGTATATTAAAAAGAGGAAGAAAAAAAAACTCCTGAGAAAAAACACCCTCCCATTTCTACACAAATTACATTTCTACCACAAATACCCCACCTATAAATACCTTTTCGACCACCAACTCCACCCTCCATTCCCCACATCGCGTTCTCTAGAGCTACTAAATTTCACTTCTCTTTTAACTCGCAAACACCTTCAAGTCAAATGGCCGCCGCAGCTCCACCGCCGCCACCATCCGATGTTCCAGAACCACGCATGGCACCACCGGAAACAACCCCGATAGGCCACCCTGTGTTCACCAGGATCCGCCTAGCCACCCCTTTGGACGTCCCTTTCATCCACAAACTAATCCACCAAATGGCCGTCTTTGAAAAGCTGACCCACCTCTTCTCCGCCACGGAGTCATCCCTCTCTTCCACCCTCTTCCTCTCCCCTCCTTTCCAGTCCTTCACGATTTTCCTCCTCGAACTTTCCTCTTCCCCTATTCCTCCACTCCTTTCCCCTTCCCCTTCTTTTACCCCCGTAGAGAAAACTTTCTACTTCGACCTGGCCTTGAACGACCCTGAAAAGGATGCCTTTTCGGTTCATTACGGGAGTGATCAAGTTGTAATCGCTGGGTTCGTTTTGTTCTTTCCCAACTACTCGACATTTCTAGGGAAACCAGGGTTTTATGTTGAGGATTTGTTCGTCAGGGAATGTTACCGGGGGAAAGGGTTTGGGAGAATGTTGCTGTCGGCGGTGGCGAAACAGGCCGTGAAAATGGGGTACGGGAGAGTTGAATGGGTGGTCTTGGATTGGAATGTAAATGCCATCAAGTTTTATGAACAAATGGGTGCTCAAATTTTGCCTGAATGGAGGATTTGCAGGCTTACCGGTGATTCTCTTCAAGCTTACCAGAATGCCAATGTTTAGCTGTTTTATGTGAGCTTTAAGAAAGTTAAAAAAGGGTTCCCCCCCCCCCCTTTAGTTGGATTCTCAGTTAGCCAAAGACTGAAATTTTATCTTCAGAAGTTTCGTTTTTTTAAATGAGATTTGTATTTTGCTTGTTTCAGAAGATGAAAAATGATGGATTTGTATGTTATTGTGGTGTAGATTTACTGTTTTCTTTTGTCATCTGCTTTTTTAAATGAAATACGGATCAATTCCGCAGTTTTATCGGATTGAACTTTTATTATTATAAAATTAGTTTAAATATTTCAAAAAAGAAATCAAAAAAATTGTGAGTAATTTCGACAAGGATTGCCATAGCACAAACGACAGAAAACATAAGATGAGGAGGATCTTCCACTCCTAATAGCATTCAAATGATTGGGAAATGCCAATCTACAAAAGGATCAGTTTAGTCCTAAGCTATGTCTAATCAGAATCTTCCAGTTTGTACATGTTTCCGTTAGACCTGTTACGGCCCCGGAACCCATATCCTGGTGCATTACAGATGAAACCCAACTATAATGACAAACTTTCAGGCCGAAGAGTTCATGTAATGCCCGGTTTTCCGTCTATACCGACTATAGTCAGACACAAACTTGAAAGAAAGGCCGCAACCTTCAACCTTGCACTGATATGGGAGTTCTCCGGTATGCACCCGTATATGCTCGATCCTCGCCCATGCCCACTTGAATGACATGGAACAACCCTTCCATGGGCACTTGAGGGGCCTATCATCATCATGGACTCGTTGATGAAGGATTGCATATTTGTGGGAACGGAATTTCTTACCACAGCCATCGTATGAGCACCAATTCCGTTTGTGCAACCTCAACTCATCCTTTGTCTCGAAACTCATATGGCAGCCTACAAGGTCACATCCATGAGACCCATTTTCCATTTTCCATTTTCTTCTTACTCTGGGTATGAACTGAAGGCTTTCTCATATCTTTTGTTGGCAGCCTCTCAGAAGATGCTTTACCTGCATTAAGACCGCTGGTAGCATCTTTCCGAGCCCTCCGCCTTAACCCTTCACATGGACTTCTAATAAAGCCATCGCCGTCAACCTTTTCATGTGTTTACTCCAGTTCCGTCTTCCTCTTTCTTCCATACATAACACTTGATTTACAATCTGCCATAACAGACTCATGATCTCCATTCTCTTCCAACGAACAATCTCCGTTGCCATCATTTACATTCAAGGTAGTACCAGTCTCTCTAGCGATAGTTTTCTGATACAAAGAAACAGTTTCCTCATCTGCTGTTCCAGCAGCACACGGCTTGTCCTGAGAACTGCTATCTTGGTGAACCTCAGAGCAATCTTCTATCACCACGTGAGTAGGATGCTTTTCTTGGATTGGCAAATCGGAACCAGTTATAACTTCATCCCCAACGGTTCTTTTTGTAGCTTGCGTTTCTTGCAATACTTCATCATCTAAGGTCACATCAGTATGCCAATCTTCTTCGGCACGAGGATTCTTGGGAATTGGGGAATATTTTTCAACAGAGGTTAGAAGACTGATCAATGCCCCCTTCCTTGCTCGCATTAATCTGGATTTCCTGCTTCTGTGCTTTATTCTCGTAAGTTATACCATCAAAAGAATCTGCTGCAACACTGGGCTCCTTCTGATCTTCAGATCTTAACATCGCCTTGTAGTTATTTTTGCTGGTAGATTCAGTTTCTTGCTGCACTTCGTTCTCAGATGTCATACATGAGTTTATGGAAAACTTTTGAATAGTTATGTCCTCCAATCCTTTATCAAATGTTCCATTACATCGCTGAGCAGATCTTGAACTTGCTGAATTACCAAGATTCATCAAACCGTAACCGGAAGCCAGTTTCTCAACCTGTCCTTCAGAAAGTGAATTGCAGACCTGGGTACCAGTGGCAGTGTTCTCCACATATCTTTCATGATCCACAGAAATGCAGTGTTTAGAACACTCGGCGGCAGGAAAAATCTCATCACTCGCAATGTTACTCTCCGTGAGCTTGATCTCGCATTCCTTTTGAAAACTAGCACAGGCTGTCAAACTCCGAGTTTCATGGTCCAGATCCAATTCCTCCAAAATTTTATTCTGGTCCTTTTGTACCACTGAGGTAGTCAGGACCTCAAGTTGAGTCCGAATTGACTCACTTCTGGTATTTATCTTGGATTTATTTCCACCATGTTCATCAAGAAGTTGACTTGAAGCAGCCAGATCTTCTTTTGGCAGGTCATTCTTCAACGGTTCACTGACCCCACCAGCTCCAGTTGAAAAATCCGGTTTTCTTTTCTTCCTTCTTGAATACTGAATAATTTTCAGCCCATATTTAGAGATGTTGCTATCAAGTTTTTCCACCAATATTTCATCTACTTCCATTTCAACACTTTCATGTGGTTTAGACGGTGATGGATGGTCTAACTTGCCTTTGGAACGGTATTTTCTCGACTTCCATTTGTCGTTCAATAACTCCGAACTGCTGTACTTGTCATTGAAAAGACCACTCAATGGCAGCGCATGCTGAACTTGCTTAAATGGAGAGTTCTTTTGAACTTTGACACAGTACCGCAAGTTAACACCAAGTTCGGTCGTCCAGTCTTCCTGAATTTGATCATGTTCATCATCAATCGCAAAATTGATCAAATTCAGATCCTCCTCGGATGAGGAATCTAGTGGAACATCATTAAAATTGAAAGGGATACCAATAGCGTCCGCAACAGGTATTGCTTGTGCCTTTATTTTCTGATAATCTAACAGATCAGAGAATAGATGTTAAGAACTAATTCAAAACTACAACACAAGCAAATATATGAAATGATTGAATAGTAGATAGTAGAAAATAGCTAAATACTACAGACCTATGTTAACTCAGATTTGAGTGTTTCAGATACGGGTACGAATCCAACAGGGATGGGTTCAAATTTTAATAAATTTTCATGTATTTGGAGGATCTTTAGAAGATCATATTTCCATACTCGTGTCCAAATATGATTTGGAAACAGATGTTGGGAATGGATACTTGCCCCCCACAGGTTTGCTTTTCTTTTCTACTTTTTGATCGGTTGTTGATAACAGGAGGAATGTCGCCTAAATACAGATAAACTGATCTGATGTATAGAATAAAGGGGGCAGATAGATCTAAAGTCCATCTTACCTGAATGGCAAATTACCAGCATTTTCGCTCCACCTTTGGACTGCAAAAGCTCATCAACTTGAACAGCATGCTCCAGGCAGAAAATCCGAGGTCTCAGATATTTGTTACAGGTGTTCCATCCTTCGTAAATCTTAGTTATTGATGGAAATGGTGAATCCAGGCAGAAAATCCGAGGTCTCAGATATTTGTTACAGGTGTTCTATCCTTCGGAAACCTTAGTTATTGATGGAAATGGTGAATCCTTGGAAGGAAGTGATAGATCCACATGATTAAAATTGTCTGCAGAACAAAGCACGAGATTTACATTAATACTCATTTCAGAAACCCGAAAATATGGTGAATCAAACTTCTTCGGTTCAAAGCAACATAGGTTCCAACCTCCCAGTTTATGGCAACAGATATTTAACTTGCAGGAAAATAATCCAACCATGTGACAGTTTGAGTGATGAACAACATGAAGTCAAAAATGAATTGATGATACAATTGAGAAACAAAAATTTATTAGAAAGGGGTCCCATACCCGAAATTGATCCCTCAACAGGGCAAGAATGGATATTGTTAGGTTTCAAGACTGTCGGACTTTGACATGAAAGATGATTCGCAGGTATAAGTTCCATAGTTGCTCCCTCACATGGTTGTACCACGGACATAAATGGATAGCCTAAAATTCCGCAGGCCACACAAGCCAATGTCCCCGAATCAACTTGTAAATCACATGTCAAATCGTCATCATTAGAATATAAATAATTCAGATTTTCCATGTAGAAGCTCATCTCATCTAAGAGATTCTTTTGATTAGATTTATCTTCACTGTGAATGTCGGAAACATTTTCTTGCAGCATTGTAGAATCTGTAGCAGTTCCGCTGGGCAATTCTGAATCTTTTCTCACACAAGGAAGTAACAAAGGGTCCCACATTATTGCACGATAAGTCGATTCACTTTTTAGAAGAAGAGATAACAATTTATTTTCGGTTAACAAATCTTCTATAAAAGCCTTCTTTATTAACAAATCTCGTTCTTCCTTCAACCGATCTCTCAGACGAGAACTGCGAGCACCAGGTAGCAAGGATCGTGGTATCCTGGAATGGAAACGAATTAACTGAAACATACTTGAGAAACAACTAAACAGCTCAATAGATATTATTACAACTAAATTTTAGAAAATAATGTAAAGAACTACAAAGATTTATGTAGAACTCTATGTTCATTAAGCTTGATATTCAAAAAAAAAAAAAAAAAAAACAGATGGCATAATTGGTGAGTTACGGATTAACTTCAGTTGATTAAAGAACAGAAATAATGCCATGATTTTGGTAGCAGATTGTTCTAGAAACTAAAAACACAGTTCATTTTGTATCAAAATTTGATATAAAAGAATAAACTAACTGCAAAAACAAAGATGGCATAATTGGTGAGTTATTAGGGATTAACTGCAGGTGATTAAACCATATAAACGAAAATGATGCCATAATTATTGTTACAGATATTCTAAAAACTAAAAACATGGGTGTCAACCATAAGGAGTCAACAAATAAAGTGTCAGATCAACATGGTATATTACTATACTGAGCCTTAAATTTATTAAATTTAAATTAGAAACAGAAACAGCGGCCTGAAGTGCCAAATCCTAGCCTTGTCAAGGACTTCAGGCCTATATCATGCTGCACAGTGATATATAAGACCATTACAAGGATTTTAGTGAGACGATTGTCTACTGTGTTCCCTAGCATGGTTTTAAAGAATCAAACTGCTTTTGTTAAAGGTAGGAGTATAGTGGATAATACCCTCCTTGCCCAAGAGGTTGTTAGGGGCTATAGTAGAAAGAACATTTCCCCTAGATGTGCCTTGAAGTTGGATCTACAGAAAGCGTTTGATTCTCTCAATTGGGATTTCTTAGTTGTTGTTCTCACTGCTCTTGGCCTTCCTGCTAGATTTATTAGCTGGATTTATGCTTGTTTTACCAAGCCTAGCTATTCGATTGTAATAAATGGTAGTTTAGTTGGTTATTTTAGGGGGG